GCGGGCAGCCCCCCACGCAGGCCTGCGATTCCTCCGACCCGCGGCGGGCACACCCCGCCGCCCTCCTGACCTTGGCAGGGGGCACCGCCAGCCCCCTGTGCTGGCGTTCCGACTGGCTGACGCAGACGCCCCTCAACGTGAGCCTCACAGTACCCCTGGGCAAAACTTTCGAGCTGGTGTTTGTGAGCTTGCGCTTCTGCTCCGCGCCCCCCACCTCAGTGGCCCTGCTCAAGTCGCAGGACCACGGCCGCAGCTGGGTCCCTCTGGGCTTCTTCTCCTCCTGCTGTGGCCTGGACTATGGCCGCCTGCCCGCCCCTGCCAATGGCCCAGCCGGTCCCGGGCCTGAAGCTTTGTGCTTTCCTGAGCTCCAGACCCAGCCTGATGGCAGTGGCCTTCTGGCCTTCAGCGTGCAGGACAGCAGCCCGCCAGGCCTGGATCTGGACAGCAGCCCAGTGCTCCAAGACTGGGTGACCGCCACAGACATTCGAATAGTGCTCACAAGGCCTGCCATGCTGGGGGCCACCAGCGACTCCGAGGCCGTGGTCTCTTACTCTTACTCAGCCACTGAGCTCCAGGTGGGCGGGCGCTGCAAGTGCAATGGGCACGCTTCCAGGTGCTTGCTGGACACCCAGGGCCACCTGATCTGCGACTGCCGGCATGGCACCGAGGGCCCCGACTGTGGCCGCTGCAAGCCCTTCTACTGCGACAGGCCCTGGCAGCGGGCCACAGCCTGGGAAGCCCACGCTTGCCTTGGTGAGGCCTTGGAGGGTGGCCTGGGGATCTTGGATCCAGCCAGCCTGCCCCTGACCCATCCCTCTCTGCAGCTTGCTCCTGCAATGGCCATGCCCGCCGCTGCCGCTTCAACATGGAGCTGTACCGATTGTCCGGCCGTCGCAGTGGTGGTGTCTGCCTCAACTGCCGGCACAACACTGCCGGCCGCCACTGCCATTACTGCCGGGAGGGCTTCTATCGCGACCCGGGCCGTGCACCGAATGACCGCCGCGCTTGCAGGGGTGAGCCTGCATACCCCCACCCTCTGGTTTCACATATTCCCAGATGCGTTTCTGACCATTTCACCTCTGTCCTTAGCCTGTGACTGTCACCCTGTTGGTGCTGCTGGCAAAACCTGCAACCAGACCACAGGCCAGTGTCCGTGCAAGGATGGTGTCACTGGCCTCACCTGTAATCGCTGCGCCCCTGGCTTCCAACAGAGTCGTTCTCCAGTGGCACCCTGTGTTAGTGAGTGACCCTGCCCTGCTTAGGCCACCCCAGCTCCCTGCTGCTGCCTACATATCCCCTGAGAGCTCCAGAAACCCCAGGCCCCCTCAAATACAGGCCATTCTTCCACCCTCTCTGCAGAGACCCCTGTCCCTGGACCCACTGAGGAGAGCAGCCCTGTGGAGTCACAGGGTGAGTGGGCACATATCAGGTCCTAGACTGGCATGTCCATGAGAGGAGGAGTGCTATGGGTTGAAGCGGGTAGGAGGAGAGGTTGGGGGAAGGAGGTGGGGATCTGTGCCAGCCTGCCCACTCCGTTGTCTCCCCTCCCCAGACTGCGATTTGCACTGCAAACCCACCCGGGGCAGCTACCGCATCAGCCTGAAAAGGTTCTGCAGGAAAGACTATGGTAGGCAGCCCTCAGGCCTCCCGCCCCCACCTTCCCACCTTGCCCTCCCCACGTTCCCGTTGGATACCCTGACCCTTGCTGGCCCCCATCCCTCAGGGGCCCCACTGCCACTGGCCCTGCCCCGTCAGCCCCTTCGTGATCTCTCTGCTCCCTCCTCTGCGGTGTCCTCTCTGTGCGCTCCCTCTCCAGTGGTTGTCCTGTTTCCCTCTCAGCCCTCCCTCCTGGCCACTGGCGCCCGGTTCTCCTCTGAGCAGCCTGCCGCTTCCCAGCCTAACCCCGCCCCCTCTCGTCCTCTCCGCA